ACTAGAACTGCACTAGAACTGAACTAGAACAGAACTAGAACAGAAATAGAACTGAACTAGAACAGAACTAGAACAGAACTAGAACAGAACTAGAACAGAACTAGAACAGAACTAGAACAGAACTAGAACAGAACTAGAACAGAACAGAACAGAACAGAACTAGAACTGAACTAGAACAGAACTAGAATAGAACTAGAACAGAACTAGAACAGAACTAGAACAGAACTAGAACAGAACTAGAACAGAACTAGAACAGAACTAGAACAGAACTAGAACAGAACTAGAACAGAACTAGAACAGAACTAGAACAGAACTAGAACAGAACTAGAACAGAACTAGAACAGAACTAGAACAGAACTAGAACAGAACTAGAACAGAACTAGAACAGAACTAGAACTGCACTAGAACTGAACTAGAACAGAAATAGAACTGAACTAGAACAGAACTAGAACAGAACTAGAACAGAACTAGAACAGAACTAGAACAGAACTAGAACAGAACTACAACAGAACTAGAACAGAACTAGAACAGAACTAGAACAGAACTAGAATAGAACTAGAACAGAACTAGAACAGAACTAGAACAGAACTAGAACAGAACTAGAACAGAACTAGAACTGAACTAGAAATGAACTAGAACTGAACTTGAACTGAACTAGAACTGAACTAGAACTGAACTAGAACTGAACTAGAACTGAACTAGAACTGAACTAGAACTGAACTAGAACTGAACTAGAACTGAACTAGAACTGAACTAGAACTGAACTAGAACTGAACTAGAACTGAACTAGAACTGAACTAGAACTGAACAAGAACTGAACTAGAACTGAATTACAACAAAACTAGAACTGAACTAAAACCAAGCTAGAACTTAACTAGATATAAACAGAACTAAACTGAACTGGAAACGAAGTAGAACTTATCTTATGTGGGTAGACACAACAAATTTATAGCTGAAATAAATAACATTGGCCAAAAACGAAACCTTGTTATTATTCTATCTTTATTTTCCTTAAAATTGTTCAAAAAGAAACGAAGTAATGAATTATTCTATCTCACTCTTTTAATTTTTCCCTTTTACACCAGTTTACTATAGCCGAATTTATCGAACAGTCAATTTATCGCACTATTGGTTCATTACAACGGCATTTAGCCAATGCTCAATTACTCTTGCAACCAAATACTTGGCCACAACGTCCTTTGCCAATAGCACAAGCTTTGCATGATTTAAATTTAATACCAAATAATCAGCAACAACAACAGCAGCAGCATCACTACCAACAACAACAACATCAACAACAGCATCATCTACAGTATGAACAGCAACAACATCATCATCAACATCATGCAACAAATTGAAACACATCATATAAATATATATAGAAGTTCTTTGCATATGTCTTCCGCAAACAACACACATGCAGACGGGAACAGCAATAGAAATGGTGTTTAATTAAATTTAGTCGAAAATGTTAACATTAAAGGAAATCATTATTATCATACATTTAGCCAAAATAAAAAAAAAAATACCACACATTTTTTTTGTTTAGACATGGAAAAGAAACTTAACTCAAAACATAAGCTTAAAGCTTTATTTTTTTAAAAAATACCGAAATTATTCAAACAAATATCTATACATATAATGTTATTAATTAAAAAAGAAATATTAATTATAAAAGATAAAAATAAAAAAATTAAACATTTAAAATGTTGCATATTAGTAGTTACATATTTAACATACATAAAAACTATGTATTTTTTTTGCATACGATTTAAAAAAAAAAATATTAAATAATTAAAAAAAGTTAACACATTCATTATTATAATTATTTTTTTAACAACCTAATAATTTCTTTTTCAATTCAAATATTGTAAATTATGAGAAATTAATAAATAAAGAAATAATTAAATAAAAAAGATTTTAGGCAAATTATTTCTAAAGGATGTTAGGTAATTAATTACGACTGAAATAAAAAATTAACAGAATTGGAACTAGAACTGAACAGAACAAGAACCGAACTAATATTGAATTAGGTACAACTGAATTAGAAGTGATCTAAAACTGATCTAGAACTAAACTAGAAGGTACTGAACTAGAACTGAACTAGATCTGAGCTAGAACTGAACTAGAAATGAAGTAGAACTGTATTAGGGCTGATCTAGAACTCAGCTAGAATTCAACTAGAACTGAACTTGAACTCAGCTAGAATTCAACTAGAACTGAACTAGAAACGACTAGAACTAAACTAGAACCGAACTTGAACAGAGTTAGAACCGATTTAGAACCGAATTAGAACTAATCTGAAACCGAACTAAACTGAACAAGAACTGAACTAGAACTTAACTAGAACTTAACTAGAACTTAACTAGAACTGAACTAGAACTGAACTACAACTGAACTAGAACTGAACTAGAACTGAATTAGAACTGAACTAGAACTTAACTAGAACTAAACTAGAACTAGAACTGAACTAGAACTGAACTAGAACTGAACTAGAACTGAACTAGAACTGAACTAAAACTGAACTAGAACTCAACTAGAACTGAACTAAAACTGAACTAGAACTGAACTAGAGCTGAACTAGAACTTAACTAGAACTGAACTGGAAATGAACTGAACTAGAACTAGAACTGAACTAGAACTGAACTAGAACTGAACTAGAACTGAACTAGAACTGAACTAGAACTGAACTAGAACTGAACTAGAACTGAACTAGAGCTGAACTAGAACTGAACTAGAACTGAACTAGAACTGAACTAAAACTGAACTAGAACTGAACTAGAACTGAACTAGAACTGAACTAGAACTGAATTAAAACTGAACTAGAAAAGAACTAGAACTAAGCTAGAACCGAACTAGAACTGAGTTAGACCCGAGCTAGAACTGAGCTAGAACCGAACTAGGACTGATCTGGAATCGAACAAAACTGAACTAGAACTGTATTAATCTAGAACTGAACTATAACTTAACTAGAACTGATAGATAGATAGAACTGAACTAGAACTGAACTTGAACTGAACTAGAACTGAACTTGAACTGAACTTGAACTGAACTTGAACTGAACTAGAACTGAACTAGAACTGAACTAGAACTGAACTAAAACTGTACTAGAACTGAACTAGAACTGAACTAGAACTGAACTAGAACTGAACTAGAACTAAACTAGAACTGAACTAGAACTAAACTGGAACTAGATCTGAAGTAGGAATGAACAGAGTTAGAACCGATTTAGAACCGAATTAGAACTAATCTGAAACCGAACTAAACTGAACAAGAACTGAACTAGAACTGAACTAGAACTTAACTAGAACTTAACTAGAACTGAACTAGAACTGAACTAGAACTGAACTAGAACTGAATTAGAACTGAACTAGAACTTAACTAGAACTAAACTAGAACTAGAACTGAACTAGAACTAGAACTTAACTAGAACTGAACTAGAACTGAACTAGAACTGAACTAGAACTGAACTAGAACTGAACTAGAACTGAACTAGAACTGAACTAGAACTGAACTAGAACTGAACTAGAACTGAACTAAAACTGAACTAGAACTCAACTAGAACTCAACTAGAACTGAACTAAAACTGAACTAGAACTGAACTAGAGCTGAACTAGAACTTAACTAGAACTGAACTGGAAATGAACTGAACTAGGACTGAACTAGAACTGAAATAGAACTGAACTAGAACTGAACTAGAACTGAACTAGAACTGAACTAGAACTGAACTAGAACTAAACTAGAACTGAACTAGAACTGAACTAGAACTGAACTAGAACTGAACTAGAACTGAACTAGAACTGAACTAGAACTGAACTAGAACTGAACTAAAACTGAACTAGAACTGAACTAGAACTGAACTAGAACTGAACTAGAACTGAATTAAAACTGAACTAGAAAAGAACTAGAACTAAGCTAGAACCGAACTAGAACTGAGTTAGACCCGAGCTAGAACTGAGCTAGAACCGAACTAGGACTGATCTGGAATCGAACAAAACTGAACTAGAACTGTATTAATCTAGAACTGAACTATAACTTAACTAGAACTGAACTAGAACTGATAGATAGATAGAACTGAACTAGAACTGAACTTGAACTGAACTAGAACTGAACTTGAACTGAACTTGAACTGAACTTGAACTGAACTTGAACTGAACTGAACTTGAACTTGAACTGAACTTGAACTGAACTTGAACTGAACTTGAACTGAACTTGAACTGAACTTGAACTGAACTTGAACTGAACTTGAACTGAACTAGAACTGAACTAGAACAGAACTAGAACTGAACTAAAACTGTACTAGAACTGAACTAGAACTGAACTAAACTAGAACTGAACTAGAACTAAACTGGAACTAGATCTGAAGTAGGAATGATCTAGAACTGAACTAGAAATAAACAGATATAGCACCGAACTATAACTGAACTAGACCAAAATTAGAACTGAACTGATTTCGAACCGAACTAGATCTTAACTAGAATTGAACTCTTGTACTGAATTGATCTGACAATGAACTCGAATAGGACTAGAACTGTTCTGGAACTAAATTAGTATTTAACTATAATTTAACTAGAGCAGAACTGGAACGAAACTAAAACTGAACTAGAATTTTGTTCAAGTAAATATAGCAATTAAAAAACCGCCGTATGTAATAATTCTTAATTGCTTTAAGTTGAAAAGTAACGAATAACAACCACCAAAAGTCTTGCCAATAATATATGAATACTAACAGTATAACAATAAAAATTGGCAACGCTATTTAAATCCTCTAAAGCAAAGAGGACGAGAGAGTGCAACATACAAATGTGAACGATTAAAGAGGGTGGATTTTGAAAGTTTACTGAATATAAACAAATAAAAAGCCGGCTATAGGATTTTCGAGAAATTACACGCAAAAAAGGAAGCAAATTTTTGACAGAAACTTAAAAAAAGGACGAACATCTGATACATACTATTTGACATTTGGCAACCACCGCAAAAAGGAAAATCAATTAAATAACATAGAACGGCTTTCAAACAAGGGGTGTACGAGCAATAAAGACGAAAAAGTATTAAAGAATACAAAAGATTTAAGAAAACTTTTTAGAAAAGGATTATAAAAGAAAAATATCTTTAAAATCAAACTTGCAATATAGTAAATTAACAGAAATTAATAAAAAATAATCAATTAAAATAAAATCCTTTTCGAAAAATAACTTAAAAGTGCAAATTACTTTCTTCAACTCATACGAAAAGTTCCAATATATTAAAAATTATTAAAGCCTAATCTGCTATGGGCATTACAGAAACACCTCAAATGGCAGTTTCCGTATGCAATAATAGTTCCAAACTAACATTGGCTTTATTTAGTGAGATTTTTAAATGTATTGAACCTGAAGTACAAATCGATTCATTTGAAGTAAGTATTTCCTTTCACTGCGCTTGTACTTTTGATGTCATCATTTAAAGTATTTTTTTCTGGTGAAATAAAAAATGTATTTTTTGTCTTCCCTTTAGGAAGAACAAGGATCTGGTCGTGGTGATAATTATACAGCCACCTTATATCGTATACATTTGACTGGACAACGAAAATGTATGGATGATGGTAAAAAACAAAAATGGGAAAAGAATTTAATCTGTAAACGTTTACCCGAAAATGTACAATTAAGAGAAGCCTATAAAAGTGATAAACTATTTAGGTAAGTGAACAGTAAAGGGTTAAGGAGAAGTATAAATGGAATGATATGAAAACAATTAGATATTAATTAACTAGAATCATTAAAATTAATTCTTAAAAAATATTTTTTTTCAGAAACGAAGTAGAATTTTATACCGCCATAATGCCAGAATTATTAAAATTTCAAGCCACCAAAACTGATGAAGTGTTTAAAGCAATACCCAAATGTTTTTATGCACGACCTGATCTATTAATAATGGGTAAGCAGAAGTCAAAAACTAAAATACTCATTTCCTTCTCTCTTACTAATGATTACAATGATTTCAGAGGACCTACGAATACGAGGTTTTGAAATGCCCGATCGCAAACAGGGTTTAACTGTGGATGAAACGCACATGGTATTGAAACAAGTAGCACAATTTCATGCTTTAAGTTTATCCTATAAATTTGAAAATCCTAAAGAAATGGAAAAATTAAGAAAAACTACTGAAGAGGCATTGTTTAGCAATGATAATGCTAGTTGGTATAAAAATTACTATGAGACCCTGACAAAGAATGCCATAAAAATGGTAAGTGTTTGAAAAGAACTTGCACAATAGAAAGTTTTAAAAATAATTTATACTCTTCCCAAGGTTTCTGATGTTTTGCCTGAAGATTCCAAATATTTGCAACTTTTTAAAGAATTTGCTGAAACTTCCACCTTTTTCTCACGTATGGTGCGTTTGGTTAGTGAAGAGTCGGCTTTGACGGCTTTTTGTCATGGTGATTGCTGGGCAAATAACTTTTTATATCGTTATGAAAAGATGCCCAATGGTGAAAAGAAAGTTTTGGAGGTTAGTTTTGAATATATTACACAAACATTTAATTTTAATGCAAAACTATATATGTTTTCTAGGTTTGTTTAGTGGATTTCCAATTGATACGTTATAGTTCCATAGCCTTAGATGTGGCAAACTTATTATTCTGTTGTACTAGTAAATCTATGAGAGATGCACATTTGGAAGATTTTATAAAACTATATACAATGGAATTATTTAGATGGTTGGAAACATTATGTAATCGTATACCAGATTTTTGCAATAGCGTTGAGAAGTTGGAGCAAATGTAAGTTCAAGAAAAAATAAGCAACGAAAACTATACTACTATCAATATAATTTCCAATCTCTATCTTTATTTTAGTTTCCGACAAGAACTAAAAACTTATGGACGTTTTGCTTTGGGTCTATCTTTAGATATTATACCCATTAGCACATGTTCTTCGGAGGATGCACCCGATATGTATGATCATCATTATGATGATTCTACGTTAAAATGTGAATATGGTGCTCCCGAATTAAATTTTCCGCCCAACGATTTGTGTCGCCAAAAAATGTCCGAAATTGTTATAGACATGGTTGATAATGGTATGCTCTAAACTAAATATTAAGAAATTGTACTGCTCTCGCTTTATCTCTTAAAATTAAATGAAAAAAAATAGATTTTGGAGGAGATAAAATAAAACAAGTATTTGAAATTTCTTTAAACTAATAATTCCTTAGACAAAAATAGAATTAAATTAACAAAAATCATTATGGACATAAAAAAGTATTTACTGAGTATTATTTATAAATTACTATTTAAAATTTTTCTTATTATCCAAAAAAGAAATTTATTAAAATAGATTATTCGTTGGTACATCTTGGATCTAAAATTTGTTTTATATATGAGCAAATACATTTTCTTAATATTACTTAACGTATATGTAAGTGTCCTACGAAATAAAAGCTAATAATTTCTAATTTAAAATTAGCAAAAGTAAAATAGTTGTTCAGTTGCTCAAAAAAAAATATGTGGAGGCCAAAAATTTAACTTTAAACTATATAAATATTGATAACAATAAATGTACATAATTAAGGTTAATATATTTTTCTTGAAACCTTTCTAACTATTGTTGGGGTCGGGTCATAAAAAACAATAAATTTTTATATATATTCAAGACCTTAACGAACACAATTTCCTTATATAGAAAAGAATAAATTTCAACCATATTTTTAGTATCATTGATATGTTTAAATTTGTAACTTAAGAATTTTTTTCTTTTTATTTCATTCTACCCGCAATTTGTTTAAATTTTCAAATTGCTGGGAGAAATGTTTGATATACCAACTAAAATAGTAAAGTGAATGTATGTATATGTTTTACTAGAAGAATGAAAATTATAGTAATTAATAAAAATTTTCGATGAAACACTTTTTAAAATACATTTTTTTAATTTACATATTTTCGATCTTTTAGTTACTATTACTTATGTGACAAATTTAGCCACAAAATGATAACATTTTATTATAATACAAAAGATGTTCGTTCTTCTATAAATGTTAAAAAAAGTAAAATATAAATTACAATTTAAATATCTTTATACAGACAATAAATTTGTAATTTATATAGCCAAAAGATTTAAAAATAATAAACTATTAATAAAAAAGCATAAATACCTTATAAGAGTTTTATTTTCATTTCATAACAGTACTTAATAATCGGCCTTTGCTGTCCAGGAAGATTTGGTAGCAGGAATTTCCTTATCACAGTTATTGCGCAAAAATCTTAGACCAGCTTCAATAGATTTTTCCAGTTCATAAGATGTTTTGGGTTTTTTATTGTGTGAGGGTAAATGAAAATCTTCCAAATTGGAGGGTGGAGGTATACATACACCCGTCTTGGAGGTGCTAGGAGAGTCTTCTTCTGGTGTTTGTGTTGTTTCAGCATAACTACGTCTTTTAAATGTTTTAGATTTCTTTGAGCTTTGATACTTAGAGAAACCAGTATCAATTTCGGCAGGTGGTACATTATTGTAGTTTGTGTTTGGGTATATGTTTGATGCACTCTTGAAATTTGTACGTTTTAAAGGCTTATCCTGAGCTGGTGGTGGTGGTGCAAATTCGTTTATACGTTCATTACGTTTATATTCATTCCATTGTTCTTGGGTCATGGGTTCTTTTTCGGGTTTATATTGCCACTCCTCTTCTGCCTCCTGCGTATTGTTGGCATGTTGTGGTGCTACTCCTTCTTTTTCTTTGTCCCAAGGCCGTATATGATTCTGACGTTCCCTTTCGCGTTCCTCTTCTTCTTTAAGTTTCTTCTTTTCAAGTTTTTCTGCTTTCTTGCGTGCTTTGCGTTCTTCTTTGGTTTCTGCAGGCTTATCTTCTGTATGTTCTTTCTTTTCACTTTCTTCGTCTTTTTCCAACGGTGGCAAACCTAATCTAGCTCTTTGCCTATTTTTTGCTGCCAACACTCTTTCCGCTATTATTTTCTCCCTTTGTTCTTTTAAAGCTTCTCGGCGTTTTTGTTCTTCTAGGGTTTGTTGTCTCGCCTTTTCCAATTCTCTTTGCTGTTTCTTACGCTCTTCCTCATCGGTGGAGAAGGCATAATAGCCTACACCATGCTGTCTCGCTTCATCGAAAAACACATCTTGATAATGTACATCGGTTTTTTCCAAATTTTCCTGTTCTTTGCGTTCCCAATTGACTTTTTGTTCCTCAAGCTTTGACATAGTAGAAAGACCATCATTGAATACTGAAGGTGGTGGCAGAGGTCCTATCATATCGTCATCATTGTCTTCGCTCTCTTCCTGCAGTGATTTATTACCTACAGTATCTATCATCCAATTAGCTTTGGTTTGATCCAATCTTTCTGGCATACTGGCGGCCAATTGTTCATCTTTTCTTTTGGCTTCCGCTAAATCACGTTTCAAACAGGTACGAGTTCTACCCAAACAATCAGTATATTCTACCCATTCATCGTCGGTATCATGATCACTATCGCTACTATCATCACTACAGCTATAAGGTGTCTCTAAACTTGTTGGAGCTTGAGGTGCATCCTCTTGTTTCTTTTTATTAAACATAACTAGACAATTATCATCGGAATTTAATTTTCCTCCTGATTTTTGCATGCGTTCATAAAATTTTGCTTTTGCTTCCAAAACTTTTTGAGATTTTTCCAGCAAAACCGAATCCTCATGCTCATAGACGGTGGCTTCCTTGTGATTTTCTATTTCTTTAACACGTTTCTTTTTATCCTTTTTCTTTGAAGTGATGGTGTCGTCATAATCAATTGCTGATTGGTTTTGTTGCTTATGAGAGGTGTATTCTTCCTGTTTTTTACTGCTGGACGTTGCACTTTGGGCCACTTTTGCTTTGTTCACTTCGGCCTGTTTGCGCAACAATTCTGCTTTTAAACTAAGCAGCGAGGAAAGATTCACATTTATAACTTTATTCGGATCATTCATGTTTGTTTATTTATTAATTATTCCTTATTTTATTATTAAAAAGGAAATTAAACGTTTGCCACCAAAAAACACAAAAACCAAAACAAATTTGTTTTTTTTAAACAGCTGTTTTAATAATAGTGAAGGTACCTTGGCGATAACTTTACACTAAGGTAAACAAATATTTAACGAAAACTTACATTTTATATAGAAAATTTATCGACAAAAATATCTGTTTTGAAGTTTCTGAAGAAAATTTTCATTAATTTAAATTATCTATAAATTTCCATAGCAATTTTCTAATAACATGAATATTTTACGGAAAATTTTTCGATAACATTAATTTTCTATAGACAATTTTTCGATAACAAATTTTTTATAGACAATTTTTCGATAACATAAATTTTCTATAGAACATTTTTCGATAACATGAATTTTCTATAGAAAATTGTACGATAACTTGAATTTTCTATAGAACATTTTTCGATAACATGAATTTTCTATAGAAAATTTTTCGATAACTTGAATTTTCTATAGAAAATTTTTCGTTACTTGAATTTTCTATAGAAAATTTTTCGATAACTTGAATTTTCTATAGAAAATTTTTCGATAACTTGAATTTTCTATAGAAAATTTTTCGATAACTTGAATTTTCTATAGAAAATTTTTCGATAACTTGAATTTTCTATAGAAAATTTTTCGATAACTTGAATTTTCTATAGAAAATTTTTCGATAACTTGAATTTTCTATAGAAAATTTTTCGATAACTTGAATTTTCTATAGAAAATTTTTCGTTAACTTGAATTTTCTATAGAAAATTTTTCGTTACTTGAATTTTCTATAGAAAATTTTTCGATAACTTGAATTTTCTATAGAAAATTTTTCGATAACTTGAATTTTCTATAGAAAATTTTTCGATAACTTGAATTTTCTATAGAAAATTTTTCGATAACTTGAATTTTCTATAGAAAATTTTTCGAAAACTAGAATTTTCTATAGAAAATTTTTCGATAACTAGAATTTTCTATAGAAAATTTTTCGATAACTAGAATTTTCTATAGAAAATTTTTCGATAACTAGAATTTTCTATAGAAAATTTTTCGATAACTAGAATTTTCTATAGAAAATTTTTCGATAACTAGAATTTTCTATAGAAAATTTTTCGATAACTTGAATTTTCTATAGAAAATTTTTCGATAACTTGAATTTTCTATAGAAAATTTTTCGTTACTTGAATTTTCTATAGAAAATTTTTCGATAACTTGAATTTTCTATAGAAAATTGTTCGATAATTTGAATCTTCTATAGAAAATTGTTCGATAATTGAATTTTCAATAGAAAATTGTTCGATAATTTAATTTTCAATAGAAAATTGTTCGATAATTGAATTTTCAATAGAAAATTGTTCGATAATTGAATTTTCAACAGAAAATTGTTCGATAATTGAATTTTCAATAGTAAATTGTTCGATAAATGAATTTTCTATGGAAAATTTTTCGATAACTTGAATTTTATATGGAAAATTGTTCGATAACTTGAATTTTCTATAGAAAATTTATCGATAACTTGAATTTTCTATAGAAAATTTATCGATAACTTGAATTTTCTATAGAAAATTTATCGATAACTTGAATTTTCTATAGAAAATTTATCGATAACTTGAATTTTCTATTGAATATTTTTCGATAACTTCTATAAAATTTTTTTCGATAACATGAATTTTCTATAGAAAATTTAACGATTGAACGATAAATTGCAAAAATTTTCAATAACTTGAATTTACTATGAAAATTTTTTCGATAAATTGATACATGAAATATCTTTTCCGATTTATCGAAAAATTTAAGTTTATATAGGAAAAGTCGACTTTTTATAAAAACCAAAAAGTTGTCATCTTCTTTCAGATATACAACCCTGTACTGTTGTTATCTTTTTTTCTGATTTGCCAATTTCTTTGACAGCTGACATTTTTCGTTTTTTGTGTAGCATTTGGAGAATAAATTTTGTTCTGATTAAAAGGGATGGTATTTTTTATAATTAATTAAAATTAATACTTATTTTTTATATATATTATTAAAAAAAACTACAAAAACAAAATATCATACACCCTAAAAAGCCATAATTACAAAAAAGTGAAAATAACATAAAAACGTAAACGAAATTAACAAAAACGAAAAAAAAAACAACAAAGAACATAAGGAACAAAAATCAATATTTTATAAAATCAAAGGAAAAAACAAAAAAATTCACAAAATACTATAGCAAATTGAAAGAAAAAAAACACAAAGAAAACATATAAAGATTAGTTTGTTTGGTGAATAATAAATATTATTATTTAATTTACAAGGCCATTGCAAAAAAGCGTTCATAAACAGCAGAAAAAAAGTGTAAAAATGTCTACAGCGGAAGCACCTCTGGTGCAATTGGAAGATGTTGATCTTATGAACCACTATAGTGATGATGATACAACCGAAAAATCAACAGCAAACAAGCAACAATTAACCACCGAAGTTGAGGTAAGACTTAAAATGATAAGAAGAAAATTTCATCGTCAGATTTTGGTTGGCATTCTAATTAGTTTATGAATATTTTGGTGATAGGGAAGTATGTTGGGATAAACATTGTCAGTGTTGTTTTCAATGATTTAAGCTTTAAAATATGATAACAAGGTGATAGAGAATTTTTCTTACAGCGTGAACTTTGAGCAGTAGTGGTAAATTTAAAAATAAGAAATCTGTTTTGCTTTAATTTAATTTTCAAGATGAGTGGATTAGTTTCCCCAAACCAGATCATACAAAACAAATTTTTGATAACGTAAATTTGTACAGAAAATGTTTCGATAACTAAAATTTACTAATAAAATATCCATAATTTTATTTTTCCATTAAAAATTTTTCGATGGTTGCACTTTTTTGAAAATTTTTCGATAACTTGAATTTTCTATAGAAAAATTTCTTAGGAAACTTATCGATAACTTCAATTTTCTATAGACAATGTATCGATATCTTCAATTTTCTAAAGAAATTTTTAAAAACTTTATTTTTTTTAGAGAAAATTTTATCGATATCTTCAATTTTCTTAGATAATTTATCGATATCTTAAATTTTCTTAGGATATTTATCGATAACTTAAAATTTTCTATAGACAATTTATCGATATCTTCAATTCTGAAAAGAAAATTTTTATATAACTTCAATTTTCTATAGAAAATTTATCGATAACTTCAATTTTCTCTAGACAATTTATCGATATCTTCAATTTTGAAAAGAAATTTTATGGATTTCTTAATTTTTTTCATAGAGAATTTATCTATAACTTGAAAATTTGGCGATAATTTGAATTTTTAATTAAAATTAACCGATAACTTTTATTTTCTTTGGAAAATTTTTCGATATCTAAAATTTTCTATAATACGATTTATTTAAAGAAAAATTTTCGATAACTTGAATTTTCTATAGAAAATTTATTAATAATTTTCGATAACAAATACTTTTTCAATCTATTCTTTCGGTTAACTTAAAAAATCATAATATTAAACATTAGTCCAACATTCATTCCATAATTATATCTCTGCCAGAGTCAATAAAGTTCATTGTTTATTAATTAAAAATATTGTTTTTGCAATTTCTATTTTTATTTAACTTTTTGTTATTGTTAATTATTAATGTTCCTTTTTATGATTTGTTTTCTTTGTACTTCTTCCAATAGATAAACACTATTGGTCTCAACAAAAAGAAACGTAGAAAACCAAAGAATAACAGACAACAGGAACAAATGCTCTTATCATTAAAAGACGACGACGACGATGATGTCGACGACGACGCAGATGATGATGATGATGAAGAAGATAATAATGAAGTAGTGGGTGTTTCGAACAACAACATTAACATTGATGCAGCAGTGCAACAAACTGTTTTAGCATTTGAGGAACATGATTTTTTTGGCACCCACAACAATCAGTTATTAACAGAACCTACCTTTACACACAATGGTCATGTAAATACACAAACAACAGCAACAACTACAAATGGGAAACAACCTGCAAATGTAGCGATAGCAACTACCACGACTAGTACACCGACAAAAACAACGTCATTGCTTTTAAATACTCACGATACTAGTTTATTAACATCTCATTCACTGAGTAATGGCGGTGGTATTGGTGGTGTTGGGGGCAGTGGATGCGACAACGATGTGAAAACAAATATAGATGATATTATTGAAAGTAGCAGTAGTAGCAATAAGACCTCAAACAGTCAACAGCATTATACTAGTAGTAATTCTCCACGTTCAACCGCCGGTAATAGTCATACAAATTCACCTGCGTCTAGACGTCAACAAAATTACGCCACAGCCTCTTCTTCAGCAAACAATCCACATATAACAGCAGCAGCAACAACAACAACAAGTTCGGTACCAAGATTATTTAGCAGTAACATTTTACCATCGCATTTACGTCAGGATTCGTATCATGATGATACTGATGAAATTTGTTTAGTTCCTGAAGTGGACTTTGAGTGTTCAAGTATTATGGATCATAGCGGAGATAACAGGGAATCCCAACCATTGTTGGGTGGTGGTGGCGCTGGTGGCAGTGCGGGTAGTAGGGATCATTTTGATATGGCCTGTAATACATTTATGGGTAAGTTTTTCTTTTTATTTTCAATTTAATTTATTTAAAAAGTTTACATTTATTTAAAAGCAGAGAAACCATAAAAATGCATGGTATATTTATTTCTTTCTTATCTGCTCATAGTTAGGTACATGTGTTTTTGTTGACTGTGTTATTGTTTTTAGATTTTATTAGTATGTCAACAATTAATGCTTTTGTCTATAACGCATTTTTGTTTCTTCTTCTATATGTTGCTATAGAAACCATAGAATCTCATAGAGATAAAAGCAGATTTTGAGAGCAAATTAAATTGTTTAAATTATTGTGTTATCTTCTTTTTATATAAAAAAAAATCATAAAAATGTTTAAAGTTTACCTATACGTTGAGTTTTTTCTGTAAAATATAATTTGTCTTTAACTGTAATGTTCTATAGAAAAATTTATTGATTTTATTAAATTTCTGCAGAAAATTTTTCGATAACTTGAATTTTCTATAGAAAATTTATCTATGAATTTTGTAAAGAAAATTTGTTGATAAAATTAATTTTCTATAGCACATTTTTCGATAACTTGAATATTCAATAGAAAAATTTTCGATAAATGAATTTTCTATAGAATATTTTTCGATAACTTGAATTTTCTATAGAAAATTTTTCGATAACTTGAATTTTCTATAGAAAATTTTTCAATAACTTGAATTTTCTATAGAAAATTTTTCGATAACTTGAATTTTCTATAGAAAATTTTTCGATAACTTGAATTTTCTATAGAAAATTTTTCGATAACTTGAATTTTCTATAGAAAATTATTTGATAACTTGAATTTTCTATAGAAAATTATTTGATAACTTGAATTTTATAGAAAAGTTATCGATAACTAAAATATCTATCTATCTATCTATCTATCTATATATATATATATATATATCTATCTATCTATATACCTATCTATCTATCTATCTATCTATCTATCTATCTATCTATCTATCTATCTATCTATCTATCTATCTATCTATCTATCTATCTATCTATCTATCTATCTATCTACCTATCTATCTATCTATCTATCTATCTATCTATCTATCTATCTATCTATCTATCTATCTATATATATATATATATATATATCTATCTATCTACCTATATATCTACCTATCTATCTATCTATCTACCTATCTATCTATCTATCTATCTATCTATCTATCTATCTATCTATCTATCTATCTATCTATCTATCTATCTATCTATCTATCTATCTATCTATCTATCTATCTATCTATCTATCTATCTATCTATCTATCTATCTATCTATCTATCTATCTATCTATCTATCTATCTATCTATCTATCTATCTATCTATCTATCTATCTATCTATCTATCTATCTATCTATCTATCTATCTATCTATCTATCTATCTATCTATCTATCTATCTATCTATCTATCTTCTATCTATCTATCTATCTATCTATCTATCTATCTATCTATCTATCTATCTATCTATCTATCTATCTATCTATCTATCTATCTATCTATCTATCTGTCTATCTATCTATCTGTCTATCTATCTATCTATCTATCTATCTATCTATCTATCTATCTATCTATCTATCTATCTATCTATCTATCTATCTATCTATCTATCTATCTATCTATCTATCTATCTATCTATCTATCTATATATCTATCTATCTATACAAAACGAGCAGGCAAATTAATAGATTCAGAATTTTTCAATATTTGTATGGATTTTTTATTTAAATTATTTCTTCTATTCTCTAATGAAAACCGCAATTTTGATAAAAATAATGTAAATTTATTTTCTAATCTACAAAAAATTGCAAACAATTATAACTCTTTATATACATATGTACAATATTAATAATAAAAAATATAAATATATTATGGCATTATTTGTAAAATTACATTTGTTTGTTTAACAACGCAAAAACAATGAAATTTTATTATGAAATTCTTATCAATGTATGGCATTATTGGCAAACTAACTAATGACTGACTGACTCACTTATCATTTCGTATTTCCATACATATGTATATAAATATAAAAAATGTTTTATTATTTGCATATAAAAGAAAAAATTGTAACGCCCGAGCAGGGACTTGAACCCTGGACCGTTGGATTAAAAGTCCAACGCTCTACTGACTGAGCTACCCGGGCATATTATGATCTAAGGACAAAATATAACAAGTGTCAAGAGGTGCTTTTTGAATTACAGAATTCTCGTGACAAATGCTACTCTGTAACCACAAATTGCTAGTTAAGGGTTGCAATTAATGTTACAAAATTATGTTAAAAGCTTTAAATGGAAGAAAAAGCTTTTTTGGACAGGATATGTGGGATGAGGCCAAGTGTTGTTATAAAAGATAAATTTGTAATTACAAACTAACTTTTAATTTTTATTGGCTTTTTACTAATTTTAAAACATTCCCCTCAGCAACTTGTTCGTAAATAACAACCATAGAAATTACTTTTTAAAATTTAACTTTAATTTGCATTCATTCAAATGAATGAGTCATTTAAGAATGGAATGAATAGCTTTCTGCTAAAAAACCATTTGTTTTTTACTATAAGTTACGTTTACGTGTACGGCTTTAAATTTAAATAAAATTAACTCAATGTTTAGCAACAATAGTTGTCATATTGTTTTACATTTTTTTTTAGGAAATTTAAAAATAATTATCAAAATTTCTAGTTTGTTTTGTTAAATTTTGAATTTCTAAATAAACTGCATAAAAATTTAAAATTCTTGTAAAATTATAAAACAAAAACTCTTTGCTTAATTCGCAAAGCTAAGAGTAAATGAGCGAAATTTCTCTACAAGTTTTACCAAATCCTCAACGTTTAGACAATTTCCTTCCCAACGAAAATCGAGAAACTATTTATGATTGTAATTGTAATGAGAAAAACTGCTTTCAAAACACCAGTGATGATGAAGATATTGAAAATTTAGATATTTTAAAAATATACGTACAAGAATCTGTTACCACTATAAACAGTTTTCTAGTTTGGGATATATTACAAGCTCAATGTCATTGCGTAAATTGTCCGCTTAAAAATTTATGTAAGTTTTAAGTTTCACTTTTAAACATTTATCGCCGCCTAGCCATATGAGTTATTTTGTTATACAAAGAACATTTTATCGCCTTAAAATGCAAATTTTACCACCAAATTTAATTGAATATATTTGGTATTTGTTATTACCACCTTAAAGAAGTTTAAGTTTTTGAAACAGTTTTAGTTTTAACTATGTCAGCCGTTAATAAACATTTACGCGATATTAGTGTTTTTTATATAAATCCCTTATTCTACGATAATTACTCGGAGGCCTTTAGTTTTAATGAAAATTTTGATTTCAAAGGTGGGTTTTTAAAGACAAGTTGTGTTCCATAACAAAAATTATTATTTTTGCTTCTAATTCAGCTATTACGACAAAAGGAAAATTGGTTTTGAAATTTAATTTTCCTAAATTTGTATCCTCCCACCTTCGTTTGTATCAAAAAACATAAAGATAATGAATGGATTGGATTTTTTGTAGTAAATATAGACTTTTCTAAAGGTCTTTGCTTTCAATTCAAGTACAATGTTAAACGTATACACAAAATTAAGTACAAATATACTTGCGGACAGTACAATATCGATAAGTGTGTTCATCGCATTTGAATGAAATGAATCAGTTTCATAAATAAAAAACTCAGAACAACAAAAATTGGAAAAAATCGAAACCTAGAGACCAATATATACATTTCCAAAAACATCAGATATCGTGTCCTAAAGATTAATGCATTATAACATCGCGTACACGCCTTTGAGTTTGATAGATTGATAGATAGATAGATAGATCGATAGATAGATGATGATATAGATAGGATAGATGATAGATAGATGATATAGATCGCTGATCGATCGATCGATAGATCGCTCGCTCGCTCGCTCGATCGATAGATAGATAGCATAGATAGCTAGATCGATCGCTATCGATAGATCGATCGATAGCTCGCTAGTCGCTCGCTCTCTCGCTCGCTCGCTCTCTCTCGCTCTCTCTCGCTAGCTAGCTCTCGCTCGCTCGCTCTCTCGCTCTCGATCGCTCGCTCTCGCTCGCTCGCCTCGCTCTCTCTCTCGCTCTCGCTCTCGCTGCTCGCTCGCTCGCTCGCTCGCTCGCTCGCTCGCTCGCTCGCTCGCTCGCTCGCTCCTCGCTCGCTCGCTCGCTCGCTCGCTCGCTCGCTCGCTCGCTCGCTCGCTCGCTCGCTCGCTCGCTCTCGCTCGCTCGCTCGCTCTCTCGCTCGCTCGCTCGCTCGCTCTCTCGCTCGCTCGCTCGCTCGCTCTCGCTCGCTCTCTCGCTCGCTCGCTCGCTCGCTCGCTCGCTCGCTCGCTCCTCGCTCGCTCGCTCGCTCGCTCGCTCGCTCGCTCGCTCGCTGCTCGCTCGCTCGCTCGCTCGCTCGCTCGCTCGCTCCCTCGCTCGCTCCTCTCTCGCTCGCTCGCTCGCTCGCTCGCTCGCTCTCTCGCTCTCTCGCTCGCTCGCTCGCTCGCTCGCTCGCTCGCTCGCTCGCTCGCTCGCTCGCTCGCGCTCGCTCGCTCGCTCGCTCGCTCGCTCGCTCGCTCGCTCGCTCGCTCGCTCGCTCGCTCGCTCGCTCGCTCGCTCGCTCGCTGCTCGCTCGCTCCTCGCTCGCTCGCTCGCTCTCGCTCGCTCGCTCGCTCGCTCGTCGCTCGCTCGCTCGCTCGCTCGCTCGCTCGCTCGCTCGCTCGCTCGCTCGCTCTCTCGCTCGCTCGCTCGCTCGCTCGCTCGCTCTCTCGCTCGCTCGCTCGCTCGCTCGCTCGCTCTCGCTCGCTCGCTCGCTCGCTCGCTCGCTCTCTCTCGCTCCCTCGCTCGCTCGCTCCTCGCTCGCTCGCTCGCTCGCTCGCTCTCTCTCTCTCTCTCGCTCGCTCGCTCTCGCTCGCTCGCTCGCTCTCTCGCTCGCTCTCGCTCGCTCCGCTCTCTCTCTCTCTCTCTCTCGCTCGCTCTCGCTCGCTCTCTCGGCTCGCTCGCTCTCGCTCTCGCTCGCTCTCTCGCTCTCGCTCTCGCTCGCTCGCTCGCTCGCTCGTCGCTCGCTCGCTCGCTCGCTCGCTCGCTGGCTCCCGCTGGCTGGCCCCCGCTCTCCCGGTGCTCTTGTGCTCCTCTTCTTTCCCTTTCCCCTGGGGCCGCTTTCCTCCCCCCTTTTTCCCCCGCGCCCCTCCCTCCCCATATCCTACG